ACATCATGATCACATGATCAGAAGCACATGGGCCCAGTCAGACAGTAGGCCTCCATGTTGACAGCAGCACATGTTGAGTTATGGTAGAACACAGATAGAACATATGTACACGACGATAGACCATATCTACATGATGATAGAACATATGTACACGACGATAGAACATATCTACACAATGATAGAACATATGTACACGACGATAGAACATATGTACATGGCGATAGACCATATGTACACGATAAAACATACGTACACAACGATAGAACATGTACACGACGATAGAACATATGTACACGACGATAGAACATATGTACACGACGATAGAACATATGTACACGATAGAACATATGTACACGACGATAGAACATATGTACACGACGATAGAACATATGTACACAATGATAGACCATATGTACACAACGATAGAACATATCTACACAACGATAGAACATATGTACCTAATACAACACTACAACGAAGATAAAAAATGGAAATAAACTTTGGTGAGAGCGTTTCAGTCTAAAGTGAGTCTTGCCACAACAGCATATACTACCCGTCAAAAGCTTAGACTCACTTAAAGCACTCACTATATTTTATGCATATATATATGGTTTGGTTTAAACATATTTTACTCTATTCAAGAAGAAAGAAAAGGATTCTCAAACAAGCCTAAATGGCTTATATTAATGCTGCTCCATAATACATGTGAAGGTTCACATTTGTGCATAATACATATTTATAGTGGTTATAACAAGTTATCTCTGAATAATAACAATCATGGATATCACCATTTATCTTGGTTTTGTTTCATGGCCATTTGATACAAATAAAAAATAAGAGAAGCTACAAAACTTTATGAATCAAAACGTTTTGATGTAATAATGAATTGATGGACTGACCGTAGTATATCCATATTCATCTGATGAGATACCGAGTTATTGCCATTTAGCACATCCCGCAGGGAGAAACCTGTCACATAGAAATACGATTCGTATCGAATGGTATTATATTTAGGACACATGACAAAATAGTGGAATACATCCTCATAATCTTGTGAGCAGGAACAAGAAGCATTATCAGAAATGAAACAATTATACAGTAGAACATGGTTATAGCGAACACGGATATAGCGTACAAACGGATATAGCGAACAAATTTAAAAGTCCCGTCAACAGTCCTTTATAATATCATTAAAATTATATGTGAATAACGAACTCATGAGTAGCGAATTAACGGCTATAGCGAACTGATTTACTACCCCCAAGACCCAATTAACGACGTGATTAGCGAACTCACTCAGTGTCAGCTCAGCCACTTAGCGGTACAGTATACATCAATCTTGTTGGCGGTGAATCAACATTGTTTGATGGTCATTCATTAATTAACAAAACAAACATATCGTGTTTAACCCATTCAACACCGCAGGCTGAATAATCGGCCACAACGTTATGAAAAACGAAAGTTTTTGTTGACGAGGACGGTATCCATTGCCAAATAAACTTCATATGTATCAACATGATATAGGCAATGTTTGTGAATGTCTACATCTCTACAATCCAAGATGGCGGTCAAATGTGAATAACGAACAACGGATATAGCGAACTAAATTTCTTGGTCCCTTGGAGTTCGTTATATCTGTGTTCTACTGTACTTATCACTGTTTAAGTCACTGCATCCCAATCTAAGGCGGCAGTGTATTATTTGACAAAATCGACTACCAAAATTTAGATCGAACATTGTGTTGGTATTAACTTGTGGTGTGATTGAATTCTTAAACTGTCCAACAGAGGAAGCGTTTGTAGCATTTGTAGGTAGGTCATTCGACAGTTTAATTGTATCGGGCAAAAACGATTTGGCATAATTAGTAGATTTGCATCTTATAGTCTGATAATTTTCATTATTCCTAAGATTGTAGTTACTGTTATCAGAAACATTCCCTGGAGCAAGATCACAAAGATAGTCAGGAACCATATGGTTTACCATTTTGTAAAATAATGTTAATTTAGAAGTTTCTCTCCGTTTCGATAAGGAAGTCAGTTTTGTCTCATGATATAGATTCGCATGGCTCGTACCCCTAACTGCACCGCATATTGTGTGTAAGGCATCTAAGTGAAGGTTTTCTAGTGACAAGGACTGTTCGTTTGTACAATTGTCCCAGAGATGACAGCAATAGTCAAATAGAGGTAAGATAAATTTTTATACATTGTTTCGAGAGTTTTGCGTGATAGTCTATATTTAAAACTACGAAGGTAATTAATCATAGGGCTAATTTTCCTTATCATTTCATTAATGTGGGAATGCCAAAGGACTGGTTTTCCTGAAAAATAATGCCTAAGTGTTTATGAATCTGCACTTCATTTATAGTGTTACGGTTAAATAATTGCTGTGACAAAAGGTTTAAGAATCCCCTTTGAACCAGCAAAATATAACACAGACAAGTCTAAAATATTCAATAATATATTGAGCAAACCATGGGCCAGCTACAATGAATCACAATACAGATTTCTAATACAATGCAATTGAGTCACAAATCTAAAGTTATTGGTCACATATATAAAATATTAACTCACCCGAGTCTTGGCAGTCACAGAGCCAACACAACACAACAGCCAGCCTTTATATATACTGACACAGATTCTCGAACTTTCCAGCAAAGCATGGCTGTATCATTAACCACTTAAATCTTTCTCGAAGCGTGTTGAACATACGACATGACGATGTCAACACATAAACATCCGGTCAAGGGAGGTTATTCTGGAGCGCTATCATAAAGGCGTGCCGCTAAAATACTGTTGCCACTGAACATATATGACTCAAAATGTGACCCACAACCAACACTCAAAACTTTAAACATTGTGACTCATAATTATTATCACCTAACCAATGTTATTACAAATTACAAAAAACACTCTCGTAACAATAGGGGTACCATTCATCGAGAGGGGAGGTTTCGTAGAAGGTTTCGTTTTGTGTGAAAACTGGATAGTTTCAGTTTTGTTTGGATTAAATTTTACTTGCCAGGTTTCCGCCCATTTAGATATTCTGTCTAAATCTGAGTTAAGAATATATGCACTCGTATGGGGATCGTCGATTATTAGATAGAGTGATGTGTCGTCTGCGATAAGGAGTATATTACTTTCGATTCCATCAACTATGTCGTTTATGTATATTAAGAATAAAAGAGGTATATATATATGGTTACATGGAAGATGAATTTCTGTACTAACTTGGGGGAACTAACTGCAAATCTTATGCAGATGAATTGCATGAGGATCATGCATCAAATTGCTGAAAAGCATGTGCAAATATCCTTCCTAAAATCAGCTGCGTTTTAGTGTAAAGCTTTGTTAAGAATTCTCCAATTTTCACTAAGTTTCATCATTTATTGAACCTATGACAATAATCTTTTCAACGTTATGAATTTGTTTTACAATACATCAGTTCATGTGTAAACAGTACCTTTCAACAGTATTTAGTATTTTGCAAAATATATACTAGGCACATAAAGAAACTGTGCTTACAAAAATTTAAAATCTAAATTTATCAAACCTGTGTAGACACATAAGGATTTAAACTCAGAGATTAGTGACATGTATCCAACATGCATGCACTTGCCACGTTCCGTGACGTCAGTGGGTTCATCCTTGAGACGTGCAATACGTTGTTGCACGTGCATTCCGGGAAAGAGAAACTGAGCAAATGAATGCCACACAATACTGTCACTTTGGAAAGCTCAACCCCTGCCCTTGCGATTGTTCAAAAAATTAAAGGCTATTGAAACGCATAGCATGCCAAGGCTCACGTCTGCACAACGTCATGAGGCCATTGGGATGGTCCATGGGAGAATGTCTCAACGACAAGTGGCTGCACACGCTACCAGAACACAAATGACGTCATCGATCAGCCACGTTCTGGACGTCCATGTGTAACAACGGGACAGATGGATAAGGGTGACCCATCTGCACCACAGGTTTCAGACTGCAGTAATCACTGCCCGAACCTTCCCAGGACTTAGCGCCTGTATCCACCCCAACACAGTTCGACAACGTTTACGTCATCACGGGATCAGACCACGACGTCCCGCCATACGGCCTATCCTGACACAAGCGTCATCGACAAGCTCACGAATGTGGTGCTGAAATCATGTCCGCAGACCTTTGTTTTGGTGGAGAAATGTTGTTTTTACAGATGAGTCCAGGTTTAACATTTCCCATAGTGATGGACGTCAACGTGCCTGTGTCTTTGAGAGGAATCGCTTTGGTGGTGGTTCTGTGATGATTTGGGGTGGAATAACAGCACGTCAAAGAACTCCTTTGGTGATTGTTCAGGGCAACTTAACTGGTGTGGGCTACAGGGATCAGATTCTTCGACCTGTGGCAATTCCTTTTCTACAACGTCATGGCCCTGGGTTAACATTCCAACAGGACAATGCCCGCCCTCATACGGCAAGGATTGCTATGGATTTCTTGCTACACCACAATGTTGACTTACTGCCTTGGCCTGCAAATTTACCGGATCTCTCCCCGATAGAGCATGTTTGGGACGAGATGGATCGACGTCTACCTCATCCACCAGATAACGTCCTTGACCTTGCAACAGAACTTGAGAGAATCTGGCGTGACCTCCCACAAGCCTTCCTTGCACGTTTGATAGGCTCTATGGCGTCGTCGATGCACTGCTGTTCTCAATGCCGATGGTGGACATACCCGTTATTGAGCTTGTGACATGGTCGTTTGACCCCTGTCCTGCTTCTGGACTCGTGACGTCATTGTGATTGACTTTTCAATTGAAATTCTCACGACTTGTTATGGTCTCATGATCCCTCCATTAAGGTTTATATGTACGTTTGACATTGTTATCGTACTTATCAACTGGGATAATATTTTGACAATGCACAGTTTCTTAATGTATAGTTCAGAACAGTTGATTGAAGTAAGTGGCTACATTTACACCAGTGAGTGTATACTTTTGATGGGTAGTATATATTCACATTCTGGTCATGGAAAAGCTGAAGTGTTACTGCTACTTAGAGCGTGATATAACTTTAAAGTCAGTCACAGTTGAATACAACCATGATGAGACACACAGTAACAAAACCACGGGGACCAATATAGGTAACATCACCAGATGTTTCTAACCACCTTCCATTTAGTACATGGACATTAAATGATCTGCACAAGTCTAAGAGTTGCTTCCATAACTGTTAACGACATTGTCCTCGCTCAGGTACAGAGGGTGGCAGTTTGCATCATACATGAAGTATTCAAGGGGTAGGTAGAGATACAGTCATCTTCAACGTCATCCATCTCACTACCAGTCCTTTAATTCATATCACCACACAGTAAGGTAGTCGATACTGTCATCTTCAATGTCATCCATCTCACTACCAGTCGACAAAGTAAGGTAGTCGATACTGTCATCTTCACCATCATCCATTTCACTACCAATCCACAAAGTAAGGTAGTCGATACTGTCATCTTCACCATCATTCATCTGACTACCAGTCCACACAGTAAGGTAGTCGATACTGTCATCTTCAACGTCATCCACCTCACTACCAGTCCTTGAATTCATATCACCACACAGTAATGTAGTCGATACTGTCATCTTCAACATCATCCACCTCACTACCAGTCCTTGAATTCATATCACCACACAGTAAGGTAGTCGATACTGTCATCTTCAACGTCATCCATCTCACTACCAGTCCTTGAATTCATATCACCACACAGTAAGGTAGACAATACTGTCATCTTCAACGTCATCCGACTCACTACCAGTCCTTGAATTCATATCACCACACAGTAAGGTAGTCGATACTGTCATCTTCAACGTCATCCGACTCACTACCAATCCTTGAATTCATATCACCACACAGTAAGGTAGTCAATACTGTCATCTTCAACGTCATCCATCTCACTACCAGTCCTTGAATTCATATCACCACACAGTAAGGTAGTCGATACTGTCATCTTCAACGTCATCCGACTCACTACCAATCCTTGAATTCATATCACCACACAGTAAGGTAGTCAATACTGTCATCTTCACCGTCGTCCACCTCACTACCAGTCCACACAGTAAGGTAGTCAATACTGTCATCTTCAACGTCATCCATCTCACTACCAGTCCTTGAATTCATATCACCACACAGTAAGGTAGTCAATACTGTCATCTTCACCGTCGTCCACCTCACTACCAGTCCACACAGTAAGGTAGTCAATACTGTCATCTTCACCATCATCCATTTCACTACCAGTCCACAAAGTAAGGTAGTCGATACTGTCATCTTCACCATCATTCATCGGTGGCAGTTTGCATCATACATGAAGTATTCAAGGGGTAGGTAGAGATACAGTCATCTTCAACGTCATCCATCTCACTACCAGTCCTTTAATTCATATCACCACACAGTAAGGTAGTCGATACTGTCATCTTCAATGTCATCCATCTCACTACCAGTCGACAAAGTAAGGTAGTCGATACTGTCATCTTCACCATCATCCATTTCACTACCAATCCACAAAGTAAGGTAGTCGATACTGTCATCTTCACCATCATTCATCTGACTACCAGTCCACACAGTAAGGTAGTCGATACTGTCATCTTCAACGTCATCCACCTCACTACCAGTCCTTGAATTCATATCACCACACAGTAAGGTAGTCGATACAATCATCTTCAACGTCATCCACCTCACTACCAGTCCTTGAATTCATATCACCACACAGTAATGTAGTCGATACTGTCATCTTCAACATCATCCACCTCACTACCAGTCCTTGAATTCATATCACCACACAGTAAGGTAGTCGATACTGTCATCTTCAACGTCATCCATCTCACTACCAGTCCTTGAATTCATATCACCACACAGTAAGGTAGACAATACTGTCATCTTCAACGTCATCCGACTCACTACCAGTCCTTGAATTCATATCACCACACAGTAAGGTAGTCGATACTGTCATCTTCAACGTCATCCGACTCACTACCAATCCTTGAATTCATATCACCACACAGTAAGGTAGTCAATACTGTCATCTTCACCGTCGTCCACCTCACTACCAGTCCACACAGTAAGGTAGTCAATACTGTCATCTTCAACGTCATCCATCTCACTACCAGTCCTTGAATTCATATCACCACACAGTAAGGTAGTCAATACTGTCATCTTCACCGTCGTCCACCTCACTACCAGTCCACACAGTAAGGTAGTCAATACTGTCATCTTCAACGTCATCCGACTCACTACCAATCCTTGAATTCATATCACCACACAGTAAGATGACACTGTCAGCATGGTCACTGTCATCTTCAACGTCATCCGACTCACTACCAATCCTTGAATTCATATCACCACACAGTAAGGTAGTCAATACTGTCATCTTCACCGTCGTCCACCTCACTACCAGTCCACACAGTAAGGTAGTCAATACTGTCATCTTCAACGTCATCCATCTCACTACCAGTCCTTGAATTCATATCACCACACAGTAAGGTAGTCAATACTGTCATCTTCACCGTCGTCCACCTCACTACCAGTCCACACAGTAAGGTAGTCAATACTGTCATCTTCAACGTCATCCATCTCACTACCAGTCCTTTAATTCATATCACCACACAGTAAGATGACACTGTCAGCATGGTCACTGTTCAGCTCACCATGTGCAAGTTTCACATCTTTAAAGGATTACTAGTACGCTACGAACATTTATTTCCTGGACTCTTCAAGATAATTCAATCCTGACTTGGAACAAGATCGTAGAGCTGATGAAATATAAATGTAATGACAGACAAAACCAACCTTGTGAAAAATATTGTTAAAGCAAACAAGTGTTCCAAAATTGTTTGTGTTTTCGATTATGAGAAAACAGGATCGATTGCTTGGTCATTTAGCCACTGTGACCAATCTTTGATTATTTCGACTAGTATCACTATTGTATCATGGATAGTCTTGCTGTAGTATTGGAAACACTGTTTGCACAATTTTTTTTGACATCTAGAGCTACTGATGTGTATATATGTATATATTTACAACTGTAGTGTTCTATGGGTCCTTCACTGCATGACTTGCTGTTCCCAGGAGGAGAGACGACACAACTAAGTGTTGACGATAAGCCTTTTACTTCCCGAGTGCCATAGCATCCGGTACGACACACACATGCCCACTACACCATATGTATCATACTGATGTGTATACATTCACAACTATACAGTATCATACTGACGTGTATATATTTACAACTATACAGTATCATACTGATGTGTATACATTTACAACCATACAGTATCATACTGATGTGTATACATTTACAACTATACAGCATCATACTGATGTGTATACATTTACAACCATACAGTATCATACTGATGTGTATATATTTACAACCATACAGCATCATACTCATGTGTATATATTTACAACTATACAGTATCATACTGATGTGTATACATTTACAACTATACAGCATCATACTGATGTGTATACATTTACAACCATACAGCATCATACTGATGTGTATACATTTACAACTATACAGTATCATACTGATGTGTATACATTTACCATACAGTATCATACTGATGTGTATACATTTACAACTATACAGCATCATACTGATGTGTATATATTTACAACCATACAGTATCATACTGATGTGTATACATTTACAACTATACAGTATCATACTGATGTGTATACATTTACAACCATACAGTATCATACTGATGTGTATATATTTACAACCATACAGTATCATACTGATGTGTATACATTTACAACTATACAGTATCATACTGATGTGTATACATTTACAACCATACAGTATCATACTGATGTGTATACATTTACAACTATACAGTATCATACTGATGTGTATACATTTACAACCATACAGTATCATACAGTTGTGTATACATTTACAACTATACAGTATCATACTGACGTGTATATATTTACAACTATACAGCATCATACTGATGTGTATACATTTACAACTATACAGCATCATACTGATGTGTATACATTTACAACTATACAGCATCATACTGATGTGTATACATTTACAACCATACAGTATCATACTGATGTGTATACATTTACAACCATACAGTATCATACTGATGTGTATACATTTACAACTATACAGCATTATACTGATGTGTATACATTTACAACAATACAGTAACATACTGATGTGTATACATTTACAACTATACAGTATCATACTGATGTGTATACATTTACAACCATACAGTATCATACTGATGTGTATACATTTACAACTATACAGTATCATACTGATGTGTATACATTTACAACCATACAGTATCATACTGATGTGTATACATTTACAACTATACAGCATTATACTGATGTGTATACATTTACAACTATACAGTAACATACTGATGTGTATACATTTACAACTATACAGTATCATACTGATGTGTATACATTTACAACCATACAGTATCATACTGATGTGTATACATTTACAACTATACAGTATCATACTGATGTGTATACATTTACAACTATACAGTATCATACTGATGTGTATATATTTACAACTATACAGTATCATACTGATGTGTATCCATTTACAACTATACAGCATCATACTGACGTGTATATATTTACAACTATACAGCATCATACTGATGTGTATACATTTACAACTATACAGTATCATACTGATGTGTATACATTTACAACTATACAGTATCATACTGATGTGTATACATTTACAACCATACAGTATCATACTGATGTGTATACATTTACAACTATACAGTATCATACTGATGTGTATACATTTACAACTATACAGTATCATACTGATGTGTATACATTTACAACCATACAGTATCATACTGATGTGTATACATTTACAACCATACAGTAACATCCTGATGTGTATACATTTACAACTATACAGTATCATGCTGATGTGTATACATTTACAACCATACAGTATCATACTGATGTGTATACATTTACAACTATACAGTATCATACTGATGCGTATACATTTACAACTATACAGTATCATACTGATGTGTATACATTTACAACCATACAGTATCATACTGATGTGTATACATTTACAACTATACAGTATCATACTGATGTGTATACATTTACAACTATACAGTATCATACTGATGTGTATATATTTACAACTATACAGTATCATACTGATGTGTATACATTTACAACTATACAGCATCATACTGACGTGTATATATTTACAACTATACAGCATCATACTGATGTGTATACATTTACAACTATACAGTATCATACTGATGTGTATAAATTTACAACTATACAGTATCATACTGATGTGTATACATTTACAACTATACAGTATCATACTGACGTGTATATATTTACAACTATACAGCATCATACTGATGTGTATACATTTACAACTATACAGCATCATACTGATGTGTATACATTTACAACTATACAGTATCATACTGATGTGTATACATTTACAACTATACAGCATCATACTGATGTGTATACATTTACAACTATACAGTATCATACTGACGTATATATATTTACAACTATACAGCATCATACTGACGTGTATATATTTACAACTATACAGCATCATACTGACGTGTATACATTTACAACTATACAGCATCATACTGATGTGTATACATTTACAACTATACAGCATCATACTGACGTGTATACATTTACAACTATACAGCATCATACTGGCGTGTATACATTTACAACTATACGGCATCATACTGGCGGTATATATATTTTACAACTATACAGCATCATACTGGCGTGTATACATTTACAACTATACAGCATCATACTGGCGTGTATACATTTTACAACTATACGGTATCATACTGATGTGTATACATTTACAACTATACAGTATCATACTGGCGATTGTATATATTTACAACTATACAGCATCATACTGATGTGTATACATTTACAACTATACAGCATCATACTGATGTGTATACATTTTACAACTATACAGTATCATCCTGACGTGTATATATTTACAACTATACAGCATCATACTGACGTGTATACATTTACAACTATACAGTATCATACTGACGTGTATATATTTACAACTATACAGCATCATACTGGCGAAAGTATATATTTACAACTATACAGCATCATACTGATGTGTATACATTTACAACTATACAGCATCATACTGACGTGTATACATTTACAACTATACAGCATCATACTGACGTGTATACATTTACAACTATACAGCATCATACTGATGTGTATACATTTACAACTATACAGCATCATACTGATGTGTATACATTTACAACTATACAGCATCATACTGACGTGTATATATTTACAACTATACAGCATCATACTGACGTGTATATATTTACAACTATACAGCATCATACTGACGTGTATACATTTACAACTATACAGCATCATACTGACGTGTATACATTTACAACTATACAGTATCATACTGATGTGTATACATTTACCATACAGTATCATACTGATGTGTATACATTTACCATACAGTATCATACTGATGTGTATACATTTACAACTATACAGCATCATACTGGACGTGTATATATTTACAACTATACAGTATCATACTGATGTGTATACATTTACAACTATACAGCATCATACTGACGTGTATACATTTACAACTATACAGTATCATACTGATGTGTATACATTTACCATACAGTATCATACTGATGTGTATACATTTACAACTATACAGCATCATACTGACGTGTATATATTTACAACTATACAGCATCATACTGATGTGTATACATTTACAACTATACAGTATCATACTGATGTGTATACATTTACCATACAGTATCATACTGATGTGTATACATTTACAACTATACAGCATCATACTGACGTGTATATATTTACAACTATACAGCATCATACTGATGTGTATACATTTACAACTATACAGTATCATACTGATGTGTATACATTTACCATACAGTATCATACTGATGTGTATACATTTACCATACAGTATCATACTGATGTGTATACATTTACAACCATACAGTATCATACTGATGTGTATACATTTACAACTATACAGTATCATACGATGTGTATACATTTACAACCATACAGTATCATACAGTTGTGTATACATTTACAACTATACAGTATCATACTGACGTGTATATATTTACAACTATACAGCATCATACTGATGTGTATACATTTACAACTATACAGCATCATACTGATGTGTATACATTTACAACTATACAGCATCATACTGATGTGTATACATTTACAACCATACAGTATCATACTGATGTGTATACATTTACAACCATACAG